TATTAACTAATTATTTGGAATTAGTTTGGCTGTAGTTTTTGGTTTAAGTTTGAAAATATTTTTAAAATATTGTAAATTTAAAAAATATAAATTACATACTTTAGTACTAAAATTACTAAAAACAAGATGAAAAAGAATAAGTTAAAGTACAAATTATTAGTAAAATAGTTGTGGATATTAAAAATAGAAAAAATAAAATAAAAATAAAGCGAGAGAGAAATAATGGGCTATGAGGAGTTGGGCGAGGTGGCCGATAGGGGCGGCAGCTTGTGGTAGTGGGGAGGCAGCAGGCGGCAATCTGTAGGGGCCAGCGAGCGATGATGGCGAGTGAGTCGACAGGGGGGAAGCGACTGGGCGGTAGTGAAATTGACTTTTTATGATGGGCGACAGAAGGGGTTGGACGAGTATTGAAGAAAGTGAAATTAGTTAAAAGGTAGGACTTCGAACTACCTTATTTCATTATATGTTTTTCATTCTATCAAAAACATACTTTTATTATCTTCGATTTTAGTCATTAACTCCATTGCCAAAAAACAAAACGAAACATACATATTTCTATATATTTTACATGACCTGTGTATATATGTACATATTACAATTTAATATGCGTGCATTATGTATAATGTTTATAATATACACATTTGTATATAATGTAAATTAATTATATATATGCACATATATATATATTTGTGACGACCCCGGAAATTTAAAATGAAATATGTGTATTAAAAATGTCAAATGCGGAAGCAAAGTCAAAATTTCGATCAACATCCCTTACACTAAAACCAAAAACGTGCTCAAAATATAAAAGATCAAACTAACTAAAAGAGAAATTTGAAGGTAAAAGCTATGAATATGACTATGGAGTCTTTAGGCGTCTCCTTCGTCGTCTTCCTGCGGAACGGGCTCGGGAATAATGTATTCTTGATATGAAATGATTAAATAAGGAATGAGCTACATTAACCCAGTAAAGACATCACGATATCTCACCGTCACGGAGGTAAAGGTGGGTAGAAAACACAAAAAGACCAATGGAGCATGATTTACAACAAATCCTTTTATTAATAATAAAACCTTTACCATTCACTTACCTCGATGAAATTCATAAAACAATATACGAAAGCAATAACATTATCATCATCATGAAATCATATAAACTGTATAACATAATACTTATCACGCATTTTGTAATTCAATCATTTCACCACATATTTTTTCTCTTTTACCAGTCTACTAGTATCCATGGGGATCCATAGGGGTCCCGCTACCCGTGAACCCTTAACATTTGTAATCAGATTCCCGGGCCGTCCCCATACCCCGTCCGGTATAGGCGCCAAACTATAGACCTCAATACCCCGTCTGGTATGAGAGTGAAACGGGCCGTCCCCATACCCCGTCCGGTATGGGCGCCAAAACACATAGGGTCTCCATACCCCGTCCGGTATGAGAGACCACAATCCTGGTAGGGTACGTTACGGACCCGGTCCGTTCACCATCTCCCAGGATATCTAGTCAGGCTGACCACATTATACAATTATCAATTTACATAACATTTTATTTCCTTTTTCCTCAGTCAGCATCATCAAATCACACACAAACAAGCAAACCATTAATTTATGTCAAACAAGACAACACAAAACATCGGGTTCTCAGTCATTCAACCCATAATCAATAAAACAGTCATATATGCACACGAAACTATGAAATGAAAACATCAGATCTTATACTGCATTTAAAACTGTAAAATAGGCTAAATAACAGCTGACCGACAAACACACCAGACTCGAGCTCCATTAGCGACCTTAAACAATTTCACACATCTATTGATTCATGAAATACCGTTTTATCATTTATTAAACTTTAATACCGTGATAGGAAATAGGGTGAGGGGTCCTTACTCTTTCGGGGTCCGAACACGGCTTCACAGTGCGCCTACAGGTTGTCCCTAATTTTCCCTGAATTTTTTTTTCCCGCGGAACTGAAACGCACTACCGGTACCTGCACGTGTTCCAAAAAATCTCAAATTAGGCCAGGGCCCCTTTTTGGCCAATATCGCAATTCCGGCACGGCGGCTCCGCCGTCCTCTGGCGACGGCGCCGCCGCTTGCGGCGGCGATTCGCCTCGGGTTGGCCGTTTTCAGCCGAATTCGGCCACACTTGCATCGGTCCCTGCGATAAAACAACCTTAGGGCCATCAGGGGGCCAAAAAATTACGGAAAACTGAAGCTTACCGACGACGGTGCTCTCGGGTGCGGCGGCTCTCCGGTGAGGTTCGCGTTTTGGTGATTCGGCTCCGGTCAACTGTGCGATGAAGGTTGGGTCTCGGTGATGATAAGCTGCAATGTATATGATTGCCGCTCGGAAATTAAGGACAGCAGAGAGAGGGCTTCTTCTGTGACAGAGATGGCCTGAGCTGCTTGGAGTCGCGCTGAAGAAAATACAGAGATGGGTGATATTTGTGCTTATGTCAATAAGTAGAGGCCAGTAATTGGTTCTGCGAGTAGAAGGAAAATAAAGAATGAGAAGAACAATTTGAGGGGATTTTTCTGAGTATCTTGCGAAGAATCCATGGAGAAGATGAGCTCTCTCTTCTCGGCCTCCTCCCTCTCTCTACGCCCCTTTGGCCTCAGGGATTCCTCCTTTCTCTGTTTCGAGTTTCGCTCTTTATAGTGGAGCGAAGCTGTTTAGATCAGTATCCCCGCACTGAAGATTCTCCAAAAATCACGAAAACCTATCTCTTCCCGCTCGCGACGTGCACGTCTTTGCGTCCTTCTTCTTCTCCCGTTCCCTGCGCCACCACGCTGCTTCTCTTTTTTTTTCTATAAGCTAAATAAATAATTAATGAGAAAATTACAAAAATGCCCATGTTTGGGCGTTACATTATTCGTTAGATTTATGTGATTTGTTCGGTAGGTGATAGAAAAATTTAACGAGTGTTATCAAAATACAAGTCAGTTGATAGATTAAAATGATGAAGTTGAGGATAGAGTACAGTGCATGGTGCATATCAACTAAATGATGATGGAGAAATTAGACTACTTTTTTATTAAAATTGTTGAGTCATTATGGGAAGTTAGATATTAATATGTACAAATATTTTAATTTTTTAAATTTTTATGAAGTTATAAGTTCTTATAATTGTTAATGAAATCTTATATTTTTCATTAATTATTAAAATATTGTGAAAATTAAATTTCTTGTTTTTTTTAATCAATTTCTTTGTTAAATATAATATTATAAACTTTTATAATTACTTAGGACAAAGTATTTTAAAAAATAAACTGACATGTTATTAAAATTAATTAATTTTTATTTATTAGTATTACAGAAAAAATAATAATTTAGATTAAATTTTTATTTTTAATTAAATTTATGTTATTTCAGAATCTATAATTACTTCTACCAAACACAATACTTTTTATTTTAACTTATTCTCTTCTTACACTAATTTTAATTATTTAAATATTAACAACTATTTTCACCAAAAATAATAGCTTTTACTTTCTATAATTATTGTCACTAAAAGCAAATTAACTTTTTTTTAATAAAAGTACACAATTATTTTAATAATATTTTGACATTCATAATATAAACATTAATCGCGTCAAACAGATACTTATAAATTTGTATGTGAGTGATATACAAACTATATAATAATATTTGATTCTTTGATTTTCTATTTTAAACTCCTATTATTTTTTTATAAAATTTTATTTTTATAAAAGAAATATAAATATATAATTGAATAAAATTGAGAAAATAAATATGATTCAACTCGAATATTACTACCATAATCACAATAAACCATCATGTTGAGATGTTATTTTAGTATTTGGTACTCTATAACTTGTATTAAGTATCAAAAGGGTCTTCATATTCTCTATCATTATCAAAATGAATACATGTAAGTATGTTTCTCATTGTCAATTCTATAAAATTTAAAATGTAATTTCAATTTCATATGAATGCTTATACGAAGTTAATTAAATTAATATTTAATTTAGTTCAAATTTAAATTTCATAAAATAAGAATGATTAAAGATAATTGAAAAATTAAATAAACGTAACAGATTAATTTTAGATGATATAATATTAAATTGAAAGTAGTTGTTTCATAATTCACCACTTAATAAATAAAGAAATAAATTGATAGTAGTAGAATTGATCTAATCGTGTATTAAATATAGAAATTATGATTGATTTATGTATATGTATCAAATAATTAAAAAATTAAATAGAATTAAAGCCTCATAAATATATATATATTTTTAAAAATGTTATTGTAATTAGGCTAATTAATTAAGTCAAAGGATAGGAAACTATGTGTGGATGATGAAGAAGAAAAAGAATTAAGCATAAGTGTGGAATTTTGAGCTTCCTTCCCCCATGGTCCCTTGTAACCTAACTCACTTGAAAATTAAAATAAAATTTTGGAATTATTAGACACGTGTCACATTTTCAACATGATTTAAAAAACATCTCTCCCAAGTCAATTTGAATTATCTTATTCCACAACACTTGTCTCGACAAAGCCAGGCAAATATGTTTGTCTTCCTCTTTTCTTTAACTTACGTGGCATTTTTTTTATGTTTCCCATAATTTATACTTCTCCACAAAATATCTTTGCTTTCCTTCAAATTTTTGACTTTGTCGAATAATATAAATTTGGTATATAAATGTAAATATTTTTCTATTTTTTTAATATATATGAATACGTATTAATTATTATAAAATAATATAATTTTTTACATAAATAAAACTAATAATTAACATTTAAAAATAAAATTGATTTAACCAAAAGCAACATATGATCTAGTCCAAATAATAATTAAAAAAAGCACCTATAAGAATATTTAAAATAACTTAGCAGTAACAAGTATCGTACAGTAGGCGCGATCAATTTTTTATATATTAAAAAAAAAAAAAAAAAAAAACTATTGAAATGATTGTTATAAGTATCTGCTTCCTTAATCTCGTCAAACATTTCCGAGTAGAGTCGAGAGAAGGAGAAGAAGAAGAAGAAGATGTTTGTGTTCCTAAAATCGTTGTCAAGAGCCGTCCACGAAGAGCATCAGAATTATCCGCCGGAGACGGAGGTCGATACTGAAGGCGCGTGCACCTCACTTACAGTTTGGAGAAAATCACTTGTAATGAGCTGCAATGGATTCACCGTTATCGATTCCAACGGCAACTTGGTTTATCGCGTCGATAATTACACGGGAGGATGCGCCGACGAACTTACTCTCATGGACGCCGCCGGAAAATCCCTTCTCACTCTCCATCGCCACAAGGTACAATAACAATTAAATACTTTTATTACTTAACCAAACAAAAGCTGAAGTCAAATTATAGGTTCGCTAATACTGATTTGATTAATGGCAGAAGCTTGCGATGGTAAATAGATGGAGTGTGTACGAAGGGGATGATGCGGATGATTATTGCGATACAGGAAAAAGAAAAAAGTTAGTGAAGAGACCTATATGGTATGTGAAGCAGAGCAGTAACAGAGTATTGCAATCGAACTCACATGTTCTTGCGTATGTATACGGAGGAGAATGTGATAAGAGATGTAGGTACGTGATTCAAGGATCGTATACTCATAGATCGTGCAAAGTGATTGATATGTCGAATAGAGTAGTTGTAGAGATCAAGAGGAAGGAGGCGAGGGTGGGAGGAGTTTCTTTCGGGATGGAGGTTTTTGTTTTGGTTGTCAAAGCAGGGTTTGATCCTGGATTTGCTATGGGTCTGGTTGTGTTGTTAGATCAGATGTTTACATAGTTCTTAATTTTGTTTTTATCTGATTCTTTGTTTAGATGTGTGATTTCAGTATATGTTCACTAGTTAACTGAAAACGCAAGCGATACCCAGTGATTAAATCACACTCTTCTGCTTCCATTTCTTTATCTTAACAATCATATATGTGGATCTTGATTATTTAACAATCCCACAAGGTATTTTAAACAAGAATAACCTTTTTCTTTTCTCAGTCAAAAATCATACTGTTACAATTTTTTTTTCCAAAGCTCCTGCGTGGTTAGGTCCCACGTAAATGGCTTAAAGCATGGACCTAACATCCTTGGGAAAAGAGATAAACGAGATTGTTGTCTTTTTTTTTTTGAGAAAAAAAAAAATGAAGTCACATGAGATATGGTTGGATTTAGTGAAAGGAAATTCTTAAATTAGAGAATTTACAAGTATGAAACATTTGGTTCCAACTGTGTTACGCCCTACTTGTTGCTCAAGTGGTCAAGCTGGTTCAAGTGGGTAAAGGAAAGTCCATTTTTAAAGAAAAATAAAAGCATGAGATTATTTTCTCCATCTTGGGTTTAACTGGGTGATTTTGAAGATATGATCATATTGATGTCCTAAATGATTTGCAGGTATGGGATTTTTTATTAAAAGGCGGATAATTCCAAAATTATAAGCTCTTACCAAGTTCTGGGGAATAAATAAGGACGACGTTATATATATATATGTGTGTGTGCGTGTGTGTCTATTGTTTTTTGGTCTACAAGGACTCAGCAGTTTTCTTTTCCTTGCTCAGTTGCTGGGGGCTTTCCACTAGATTTCCCGGTCTACGCTTCATATCACCCAAGTCCGTTGTATAAGTTAAAAAGAGGAAGATATACAAATAGATTTCCGAGACTTGATTTGGCCACGTCTTTGGATTTTTCTGTTGAGTAGCTATGTAGTTTCTTACTTTTTTTCCCCTCCACCATGTCCAAACATAGTGATAAAAGTAAAGAAAAGCAGAGAGAGAATTAATTTTCTATTGCCTCATTAAATGCTCTACACAAGGCAAACAATTTCCTGTTGTATTCTACAGGTCTAATAAGCATTACAACATCTCCCCAATTCACCCTTCAAGGTAAAATTTAACAACCAGCTTCACTGGTAACAATTGTATTCCCCACCAAAGCACCACCGGGCCTTACAACTAGCTACATTTCACCTACAGCAAAAATATGTACAACCAACCAGTTTCACTGGTAACATTGTCTAATGGAAGAAGCTTCTGTACCGAACTGAGATATATGTTATTCTTTCTATCTTTTCCCCTTTCCCACTCCATGAGCATCAGCTTCCATACCTTCTATTGATTCCCGCAAGCCTTGTCTGGAACCCTTGCAAGGTGGTGGCATCATGCATGATTGCTTTATAGTATTAGAAGAAGAATTTCTTCTTTCTGTTCCAACCGAGTCCTTAACTAATATGCTTGATGATGACCTATCTGATCTGGGACTACAGCAAGTCATTGATCGTTTCCTAACAGGATCACTATAAATGAAATCTCTCTTATTATCAGCTTTGGAAAGCTTAAGCCTTTTTGAGGGCAATATCTGGTCCGCACATCTTCTTACCCGATTGTCACGCCCTGACGTTAAACTCGTAGCATATATTTCCTCGGGTTTCTCAATTGATTTTAACTTGCGAGCTTTCATGCCCTTTTGTGAAAGCTTCTTAGGCCACCTTAAAATTCCGTCTGGGCTTTGCCTCAAGGGTCGAGTAGCCATGTCATACAGTATTTGAGCAGCAGCAAGCACTTGTGGGCAATGCCCAGCTGTCAAATAAAAATACATCACAAGAAAATAGATGAAAGGCCAACATTTAAAAAACTCCAAATGCAAATGGATATAATGGCCAGAAATTCCTATGACTAAACTATAGATTAACGGCAACATATAAAGAGCTGAAGGGCGAGCTTAATATTGGCACAGCCTCTGCAAGCCCATCAAAATTATAAATTTATCAGTGCAGTCATCAAGTATTGACCTTGACCGTTCTCTAATGCAATAAATAAATGACAATAGGATGCATTGCAAGCAGAGAGTAGCATGAAGATTTGCAATTAAATTTTGGAAGGAAGATATGTCACATAAAATTAGATACAAATAGAGTCGGCTATAAACATAGGATTAACTGTATTTCTAACTCCAATTGTATGAAAAGTACTAAAGTAACTGCAAAACCATACCATTTACTTGATCCTTCAGTTCTGCTTGTGAGTCTGCACACCATCACAAAAGGGAGAAAAGAGAAAAAGAGATGATGATTCCATTTAATTAAAAAGTTGGGGAATGAATATCTATGTCTTGTGTCTTGAAGCATGTCAAAAGAAAGAAACTTACACAGAGAAATACGGGAAGCATCAATAGTTGTAGCAACAGATGATGAACCCAAGTCACAGCAAGAAAAGCTACCAGATATAGATTGCAAAACTGTAGTCCCAAAAGTACCCAGCTTTGATCCTCTAGGGGGAACTAGGTTTTGATCATAAGTGAGCGACTCCAAATCAGTAAAACAATCAATTGGAGCACCAAGAGAACTGGCAACATTCCCTATTCTTACCCATCGGCCATGGCATGTGGTTCTGTTTGATAAAAGCTTAGCTGAATCAGAACTGGTTTTACAGTGCCCATTGAAAGTATGTGACCAGGGAAATGGTGGCAATCTAACTCCACGAGTTATTTGCTTCCCTGTTCGTTGCTCAGAAGCACTTCTGGAATACTGAGAAGGTTTAGCTGCATCTTGAAGCAAAGACTCCAGATCTTTGGATGGAGGAAGTGTCAACTGTTCCAGAACATCTTTAGGTAGCCGCTCTAAAAAATCAACCAGACTGGTAGGAGCTTCAGGCTTGCTACAACAATCCTGGATAAGAACACAAAATTATTCAAGTGAAATCAAAGCCAAATAAATCTAACTAAAGGAATATATTCACTTTCCATTTGTGGATTTTCATCTGATCAATAACTTAACCCTTTGGTGTCCAATGGATGAAAATTCAAAATTTGCTCATAATAGGGCATGTTGAGGGATGATAATGAAATGACCCTTTAGAGTCTCGTGTCTTCCATCATCTTATATAAAATATATTTCAGTCAATGAAGTACATAACATGATATACTGGTTAATTATATGAGAATTTTCTAAGTGAGCTAACCAATCAACATGATGGATACTTGTTAATTACTGACCTTGCTATGAGAAGATAGATCTGTTGCACAAGATTCTCCTTTATAATTGTTATCGCCACTTGGGGACATAGAAACAGAGCTCAACGAGCAAGGGGAGAGTTTCTTGTTTGAACAGCTATCTATTTCAGCAAAATTTTGGATTGTAGCTGGCCCTGATAGAGGAAGAACAGAGAATGCTTTCCTAACAGAATTTAGCAAATTCTCATTCACATTATCTGCCTTCTTTCCTTTCCCTTTGACCAAAACAGGGCACTTATAAGTGCCAGCAAGAAGCTCACTCAGGGACAACTCATCAACAAGCTTAGTGATATCATTTACATCTGCCTTCAGACCATACATTCCTGGCAATTAATTTCCCCCATCAGCCAACAAAAGTATTAAAAAATAAAGAAAAAGAACCGCTTATACCCAAAAATGAAATTAGAAATGGAAGATGTATCCTTATCTCATCAAGCAGTAATGTTCAGTAATTGTAAAAGAAGACTATTTGCTTTAAATCTAGAATTTGACTATGAAGCAATAATTATTGAAGCTAAAATTTCATCTGCTCTCGAAAATGCTCATAGTATTTCTCAGAAGCAAACAGGGGCCTTGGCATCCATATTGGATTTCATTACGATTTTTTTTTTTTTGAAATAATTGGATTTCATTACATGTTTAAACAAGACGGTAATAGCGTCTGCAAGACCATGACATTTTGGCCAGATACCCTGATGGTAGGGCAAGGAAAATGGAGGGAGAATTGAGACGATGGAAGATTGGAGGAATAACAAAAAACTTAAAAGCAGAGATCTTTTCTATAGAAGTAATAAGCAGAGAACTTTTCTATAGAACTAATAAAAGTGTCAGAAGCCTTACTCATTTTTTTCTTTGAGATAATGTCAGAAGCCTTACCCATGGCTTCGGACCCGAGAAAAAAAGAGAAAAGAAAAGAGAAAGAACAAAGAAAAGAAGAGAAATTTTGAGGTAAATTCCTTATTTTTTTATGGTTTACATTCACATAAATTGGGGTATTTATAGGCTACAAGTGTTAAGGATGAATGGCACTGGAGGCAGAAATCGCTCAGCCATTTTGGTTGCAGCGGCGACTGCGGGATATAATGGCAATGGTTAGGGTTGATTTGGCCAATCAACCCTAACTCTAATCTGTTCGGGAGAATTGACCATTTTGCCCCCCGTGGGTAAAATTCCTTTTCTGCCCTTCCTTCTGTAGTAGACAGCCAGTGGTTTCTTAACAAAAAGAGAACACGAAAAACAGTGGAGGTTAGATATCCTCCCAGATTAAAAGAGAACAAAAGAAAACAGAGATAGTCTAGCACCTTTTAGGCAAAGAAGACCATCCAATCTCTGTGCAACAAGGGCAAAGAGTAATCGTTATAGCATCCATGCGCCTTGGCCAAATAGAAGCAAAGAACAACGATTTCATAGTTCAATAATTTTTTTGGGGAGGAATCAGATCTCAATACTAAAAATTCTCAATACTATCACTAATAATCATACTAGACACAGATACATCTCTGCTAGAGATATCCCATCTCAACTCACACAACCAAAATAGAAAAATACTTACAATTATAGGAATTTCTAAACAGAAACTAGGCCAGACAACAAAGTAAAAAGATTTCCTAAATAATTAGTGTCCTCCAAATTTACTTCCTAACTAAGCTATATTTTGACAATAATAGATAAAAATACCATAATTACATAATTATTTCCATAATATTTCCTAATATTAAAATTCTTTTTTCTTTCCTAATATTAAAATCCTATCCTTTTATTTTCTTCCTTTTCTGCATTACGCCCATATAGTAATCTTCTACCTAATTCAGCATCATTGTTCATCTACTAAAATTCAGAGGAAAGGTATCCAGGACATGACTACCCACTGTTTTTGTTAGTAAATTACATGTGCAGCAATGAGGTTAAGATGAATTGTACCCACTCCTTCCTCTATCATCTTGGTCATATTAATCCTCCGCATAACCAATTGGTTGTTTGTTGGGGTGGGGGGGGGGGGAGCAAAAAGAAAATACTCGAAATATGAACATGAAACACGCAAACAAAGCTAAGTTATTTAAGATAGATGAAAATGAAAATGGTAAAAAATTATGGTAACACCAAGAACATGGAAGAAGCTGATTAGACTAATAATCATCACCATTACTACAAATTAGCAACAATAACATACCAAAAAAATTGTTCCCTCCAGAAGCTGAACTGAAGCCTGCCATAGCTTTCACAGGAGCTTTGCAGCTTCTCTTATCACCTCGCTTGACACTAAAGTTGCTTTTTTGTTTCGCCAGTTGAGCTTTATCTAGAATGAATATGTATATTAGTGAAATGAGCAAAACTCAATCTTACGAAGCACACAGTTATACACAGACAAACTGAACAAACTGCAATGAGAATAAAAGATGATCCTACCTTTTCAGGAGAAGAAATATAATGAACTTTACAACTTTAAAAGAATTGGAAAAAAATATCAATTAGTTAGCTAGTTGCAAAACCAATAATGAGTATTTCCAGCCACAAATACACTGTTCAAATTAGCCTCCAAATTCTGATAAGCCCCATTATAATAAATTTCAGAACATTCTTTATTTATTCATTGTTCTCCAATAACATCCAAGCTGCCTTGTGCCTAGCATACAACAAGTCATGCTTTATATGGTAACATCAAATTGCTTACCAATAAGGGGAATTTACATGCATACCATATAAGGTATTTACTTTTTGGAGCAAACAACAATGACTTGTAAGGATGCATCCCATATTAGGTTTAAAGTGGAATTCAAATGCATGCAGGAGCTAAAACTGTAACCAGTATTGCTGTAATCATCAAATCATTATTATTAATTCAGTAAAGCATCAAAAACAACATCAGAACTGCAAAAAAGGAAGAGTACTACCTGGACAGCTATATTTTGCAAGATGAGATGGTTGTTTATCAGATAGATCCTTTGTGTTATCAACTCCAACTGACCTTGAATCTTCTGCAAGACCCACTCTTGGTCTCTTAGAAGGTCCACTACTGTTTCTCAACACATTTCCTGCTTTTTGTTGTAATTGAACACCTTCAGATCTCGGGTTCAGAAAAAAATTTGTCACTCTAGAATCAAGTTTTCCAGACGAGTATTCACTGTTGCATGCAGTTTTCTGGTTAGGTAGCCTATGAATTTCAGCTTCTGGAATCTTATGCCATGGAGCCAACTCTGAAGAATTAACACTGCCAGCAACATCTGACAAATCACCATTTCCTAAAGTATAAGTTGAAACAACAAAGTAGTGGCAAAAGTAGTATACTAAATAATCTACAAAATAAGAAAAATCACTCCATGTTTCGATGAATTAAGACCATAAGATAATGCCAATCCCATTTTACATGTTGATTTCATATCTTAGAAGAAGAGCATCATAGATTGTAACCTTGGACCATTCTATAAAAGTTATTAAAGAGAATAAACAGTATAATTAGAAAAGGGAAAAAATAATAACTAAACGGGACCTAAGTATGACATCATCTTGTTCACATTTAACTTCTTCTTAATGAAGAAAAACAATAACTGGGCAAATTTCAGAACACGAGAGATCTCTCCTGGCATATTAACAATATCCTTGGGGAACAACTCTCCGCGTCCCTGGGAGAAATGATTCATCAGTACATCCTTAGCTGAGATGGACCATCAAAATATTTTGCACTTGGAGGTACCTCATCTTGAAAGAGAGAGCAACAAATTTTATTTTCTCAAAGAAGAAAGAGAGAATCAATTCTTTTTCCCACAAATCATGCCTAGAAACTCAACCGCCTCCAACCTAACTTATACAATGCAGCTCATAAGCCCAGATATCCAGAGCCGCAAGTAAGTCAGAAAAACACAAACGTCCCTGCACACTCCCCACCCAACAAACAAGGAAGATGAGAGAGAATCATAGAAGCAGTCTATCACCTTCTTGAAGTCTATATATGCAAGCATGACCATACAAGATAATTTCCAAAGAAAACCCTCGTTGGGTTCACTTCATCTCTGTAAACAATTAGGTTTCAGCTAACCAAATTAAGCATATTAAGCACCTACATCCGTCCATTTCTTGCATAAGGAGAGAGGTAATGACCGAAAGAAGGTCGCAACATCAAAACCAAGATGAAACAAAAAGTCAAAGCCGAAGCTAAAAAGAACAATCCGGTTAAAATGAAAAAAAAAACGTATCTCTAAAAGTAGCAGCAACGATTCCACCTTTTTGTTTGATTAGAGTGCTGCAACGCTCAACCGAAGAATTCATAAAAACCGAAACACGGCTCCGCTCGCAGTCCTGGTCGACCTCCTTCACTGTAACCCTAGTTCCACCGAACCCCTCAGATCTCATGAGCTTTGATGGCACCGCAACATCCACTGGGTAAGGCAGCTCCACGGCATCCATGACCACCACCAAACCCTCGAAGAGACACCGTAGTAACAACAGCAACAGCAGGAGCAGGAGCAGGAGCAGGAACAGTGCAGACAATCTTCCTACCTAGAAACCCCCAACGTGAGCGAGAAGGAAGAGTGAGTTTTGTGAAAGAAATTCGGTTAGAGAAATGGAAGGAGAAGTGAGGGTTTGGTGGGGAGAGAGTGCGAGAGAGAGTGGAAAATCGAAAGGTGCTTGGATGGGCAGAGCATGTTGCGGCTATGAAACGGGGGTTTCTAGGGCAAGAAAATGGGTGAGAATGAGAAGTATTTATAGTTTTCGGGAAAATACGAGGCTTGCTTGCCTAAGGCTCGTCGGTGGAGAAAGTTCCGGTGAGCTCGTCGCCAGCGTAATCCACAAAACGGTCGTGTTCCATACTTCGAGGGCTTGACGTGGCGTGATATAATAAAATCTTGAGAAAAAGCCATGATCAGGTACATTGGCATTCACTGCTACTGCAACGATCGGCCAATGACTAGGATCAAAGGTCAACCGGTCAACCAGCTTGGGAAATGGGGAAATGGGTATACATTTACCAGATTACCCTTTGGGTATCTACCCGAAATAGAAAATCAATCAACGCGGTTTCAAACGTTCACTTCTAATCGGGCTTCAATTATTTCCAACCCGAATTAATACATTTTACCAATTTGAATTTCTTTTTTCTTTTTTGAAAAAAATCAAATAAAAATCATCTGACTCTCCCCTAATTATTACTAGTCTATTCAGTATCATATCATATCATATTGAGATCACAATCAATCTGATTTACTTTTAATATATTTTTAATTAATTTAATATAATTTTTTTTAACATTTATACTTTATATGATGAGTTTAACTTATCTAATATATTTATAAATTAACTATTTAGATATATATATGATTTATTTAAAAGCAACATATCACTCTAATATAAATTATCAAGTAAAATAATACATTATTTTTTAAAAAATAATAATTATTATTATTATTTTAGTGTATATATAAAATTATTTATAAAATACAAAATAGTAATAAATATGAAAGCTCACATTAAAATTTATGAAATTTTAATTGTACCATAACTTTTGCTCCTAAACTAAGATGTTAATCGGTCCAATGTTTACTACTTTAGTTTACACTCACCAAATAAGACAAATGTGCCTAATATGGTAAAATTAAAAGGAAAATTATAATAGCAAAATTCTATGATATATGACGTGAATCCTAAGACATGGCGGGGTACAACTATAGCTTAGGTCCTTAAAAAAGTCAGTTACTTGTTACAGCATGTGTTGAGGTGCAAATGGCACAATTAAGGGTAGCTTGGGAATTATCTCAATCACACATTTGTAAATGAAAGGAATATAAATAGTTAGACAGTGAAAAAATTGTTGTTACCAATCAAACTAATTTCTATCTTAAAGCAGGTGACTATTGACAAATAAGACATGTGGATAAGATAAGGGAACAAAAGACATGTGTTTGCAAGTCGAGATAGGACTTTACACCTTATTCAAAACTACTTGGTATAAGTTTTTGTAATGACCCGCACTCTTGTTGGAGCTACGAATGTCGATATGCGAAAATTAAAATAACCTTTATAATATGTTGTACGATACACAATAGTTTATATAGCATAAATTGAAACGATTCTAAACATTCCTTATTGCAAAATAATTTTCAAAGTAACATGAGGTGCTAATTCCTAAAGCTTTAGGTCACTTGAACCACCTACTTTATATTGTCTTCAAATAATCCTTCAACCCTAGGATTCAAATCTTTATTCTCTTATTCTATTGTTTATCGAATCTTGGTACTAATTTGTAATATTATGGTGAATTGGGGTGAGGTTCACATAATCAGTAAGAGTGATATAGTAATCTAACAACATATGAAAGAAAATAAAATCTTAGAAATTCAATGTTTTCATAAACAATACTGAGGCATGAACAAAATAGATAAATTTCTTTTCAAAAACCAAATGTAGGACACAATTTTACAATTAAAACATTCATTTCACAACAATCTTTTTTTAATTGAATATATATAAATATTTTCAAATTGCGCAAGAATCTCAACAATAATTTCCATGTTCCAGACTTACAAAAGTTTCACATCTTTATTTTGAACTCTGCAACTTATTTTGGATTGTAATTTTTCTGTGATTTTGTGTTATATTCTCATTCTAACTTAACTCGATTGTATGTTTATTACTCTATAGGTATGTTTTGATATATGGGTTTCAATTTATACTTATTATATTTTCATATAATTTATCACTCAATAATTTACACTTTGTTGTTTTTTGTATATTTCTAAGTTGCTCTTTTTTTTTTATTGTGTATGTTTATATTTTGCTTAACAATTGTTCTTGAAACTTGGGAGATTTTATGCCCATTCACTTGACACTTTACATTTACACTTAATATGATATTGTTAACACTTAAATACTTTAACACTTATGATTCACACTATAGCACTTTGGCATTTCACTTCACACCGTAACACTTACACTCTACCCTTTAACATGTGTATTTTTCATTTTAACACTTACACGTACTCTTTACACTTTAACATGCACATTTTTTCTTTTTAACATTTACACGTTACACTTAGACACTAAATTTTTATTGTACGATGTCGCTTTAACCACCATCAAGGAGGGCACTAGGGATCTTTACTACCAATATGGATAGATACACATAACACTAATACGATAACAGTTGTACACTAAATATTGATACGATAACACTTGCCACGTTAGTATTTCGCCAAGGTGGCCTCTTAACATTTGATCATTAGTCCACGTGGTAAGGTTCACCAACACTTATCTTACTATATTTCAGCCACACATGCACACTCCCTTCCATAATATATGGTCAAACAGATTTGAACATCCTTACACGTTACACTAACTCTTAACTTAGATCCTTGCATTACACTTATTTTACATTTTTTCATTACTAATTTATAATTAACTCTCCATTTTTCACTTATTTTAACACTTACATTTTAAACTTTAACATTTAAACATTGAGATTTCATAGTAGGATGTCGCTTTGAATCAAGGAGCGCATTAGGAATCCCCTCTATCAACATAAGACAGATATACATTAAAGAATGATGTGATAATACTGATATGAAAATAGTGATATGATAATATTGAAACAACAATGCTGATCATTGGTCTATGTGATAGGGTTCGCCAATATTTATTCC